ATACATATCCATACTGCATACAATTATTTGCATGTGCATGCCTGGGGATTATACGTCATAGAATCACACTGTCAACTCAATTGGAAAAGACTTTTAAGATCAAGTCCAACCATTACCCCAGGACCGCCAAGACCACCACAAACCATATCACTGGGGTCCTCATCTATATGTTTTTTTAACACTTCCAGGGACAGTGATTCCACCACTTCCCTTGGGCAGCCTGTTCCAATACCTGACCACCCTTTCAGTGAAGAAATGTTTCCTAATATCCAATCTAAATCTCCCCTGGCACAGCTTGAAGATATTACCTTTTGTCCTAACACTTGTTACTTGGGAGAAGAGACTGACTCCCACCTCACTGTGTCATTGCTTCTACTCCTCCTCAAAAACTTCTAAATCTCTTGATCATTCTTCATTAGATCTGAGAAATTCAACCATTTCTTAAAAGCAGGTAATTGAATAAAGCAGAGAATATGTAAACTGCTCCCATGACGGGAAAGGTTCCAGACCAGAAGAAGAACAGATGTGTATTATATACAGAAGAAAAATGTGTTCTTTCCTATACTGTGCTTGTCAAAGCTTAAAATTCAGTATTTTACCCACTGACATTACTATGTGTATGATTTAAGTATTAATGAGTTTAAGTATTAATAAGATGATGCAAGGGAAGGAAACAAGAAACCACCTTTTTATGCTTTAACAAAACTGTACACAGAAGTTTCACCTTGTAAATTTATGAGATAAAGGATGGTGGCAGCTTACAATTCAGTTCATCTTCCTCTTAGTGTGTACTTCCATAGTTTCCTAAGTTGTCATAATTTCAAAATTTGTCAAGTTGTCATAGTTTCAAAAAATCTGACTTGCCTATTCTGCCAGACAGAAGTTCTGAAGCCTATGTTCATTTATACAATTGTGTCTCTGATATGGATACACAAGAAAGAACAAATACAGGAAACAAGCAGTGCAAAACAGAGACAGACATTCATCTTCCTTATCAGTGTGAGCAAAGATGAAGAGAAAATGCAAGGAAAAATTATTTCCTGGAATCAGCATTATGTGGTATATTCAAAAGCAACATTTAAGGATGTGTCTTCATTCTTTTTTTCAAATAAGGTACGAAGAGCACTATTTCTTCAATCTATAGTAAAATAAACCTAAGATAACACATCAGGAAATATACTGAAATCTGCAGAAATACTATTTTCAATTATGGCCTTATTTGTCATATACTCGACTCACTAGCATATAATTTGTATTAAAGTACTTCTTTGAAAAACAGAGAAAGTCATTACTGTTCAAATGGCAAAGACAAGATTCTGTTGTGACAAAGATGATGTTTATCAAATCATGATAACAAGGACAAAAGCAGCAAAAGGCATTAACAAATAATCCAGTGAGCACTGGGACTAATCAGTCCAATGTCCTTCTGATTACATGCGGTGCTTGCTTGTATGAATTACAGCTCTTCCCACTGTATTATATGCATTTATAAGGTAATGGTCTGGTCTATATAATATCTACATTCATTCCACAGCTTTTTCCATATTCAAGACACAAATGGAGTTTGTTTCCTCTTCACAGCTCTTTAGTCTCACAAAACCTGGAGCAACCTATTTTAGACACCTCTATAGCTTGACTGAAATGAACCACACTAAAGTTCATGCACACCTTCCTTCCCATAGATCTGATGCCATTAGAAATCAGGACAAATAATCTGATTAATATTAAACTGGAAAGATAGACTTATTTTCTGAAAGCAGTAACAGATAAAGTAAACAACCTCTTAAAAAGTTGTATGAGTTACTGAACAATTCACTCCAGCATATTGTTGCAGTACCCCACCTTCAGTATTCTTCCACAGAGCAATGCAGAAATACACTAAATGCTCTAGCTCCATAGATATTCCTCCATTTTCCATGTCAGCTGAGTGACTCAAATTTGTGCTACTAAATGAAGAACCAAAGCAGGAGTTTTAAGAAAATGTTATTATAAAACAGGAAGGTATCCTGCCACACAGATCTTAATCTTGAAAATACTCAACTTCAAAATCAGAAATATCAGTTATAGCTCTAAGGGGACTATTCAGGTGCACAACCAGGTTTAACTGCAAGCACATTCAAGTGGAGTTGGTCTTAATTATGGGGACTGTGAGTTTCAGATGAGGAGCTGAGTCTGAATACAATGAGATAATCTTAAGTACATACTTGCTTGTTATGTATTAAGTGTTTTGTTGAGAACATAGCTGGAAATAAATTACGGGAACATACAATTCCTTAATTATTTTATTACACTATGTGACATTTTATAACAATATGTTAATTTTACTTTAAGAATTGTGCTGTGGAAAAAAACATACAATTAATAACTCGGCAGCCCAAGACCAAACAGCTGTTAGACACTGGCTAATATCCCTATATAAAGGAATTTTTCATTAAGCTGACAGAAACAAGGATTGTGGAGTATTCAAAGCAGGAGGTATTTCCAGCTCTCTGAGATTTTATTCTGCAGCTATTCCATGGGGCAAACTCTACATGCTAAAGGACTATGAAATCAATCCTAATGAGTTTAAGGTAACCACAAATCTAATTTATTTGGTTTTAAACCTTGTGCTTTTTGCATCATTTCATTCACTCCCAGCGTTAAACCTTCTCTAGTATCAGTGCAAAACAATCTTGTGTTAAAACTCTGAAAACTGAAGAGACACTTTATAAAATTAATTGTGGAAATATTATGAAGAAAATGGATGTGCATGTTCAAGTTCTCTTGTAGAAATCTGAAAGGGAGCTTCTCTACACAGCTGGAAAATTGTGTAGCCTTGATTAAATCAGAAGTGCCCTCTGCTGTGGGTGAAAGTTTAACTCTATTGAGAAGCCTGGAAAAGCCACTACGTAAGAATGTTAACAGCATTCCAGTGTCTGAAGGATTAGGGTTTAAAAATCAAGCCTGGTAGGCGCTGTCCAACCTGTTCCTCTCCAGCTTGATGGTATGCAAACTACTGTTTAATTCAGCTACCAAGTAAGGAGTACTTAGAAACTTATTTCTCAATAAGCAGCTACTGATTTAAGTTCATGTCCATGTAACATTGCATATTTGTAGAAATCCTTGTATCAGCATTTAAACTGTAAAAGGTACCTGGAAAATCCATGCAAAAAACCCCCCAAACACAACCCATACACCTATTCTGGGTAGTATTAATAATACAACAAATCATCATGATTAACCGTATCTGAAATATAAAATTTTAGTTCACAACTGTACAAACCTTGGTTTGTTCAGTTGTTTTAAAACTCAACTACTTTTTATAGAAAAATTAACAACCACAGGACAATAGTCACCCACAATGAAACTTTCATTTCAAGTTAAAATGTAATAAATGAGAAAAGTACAGGATATTAAGAGTAATAGTGTTCAGACAAGCAACACAGGACATTGAATATAAGTTTGAGAACTTTGATTTCATCCTGTTTGAATTTCATGGGTAATATTAATGCTACTGATACTAGCTCCATGAAACCTGGAACTAATCCTAGAAAGAAATCTGAATGGGCAATGTGTTGTTTTCAGAAATTCCCCTCCCAGTCAATAATGGTCTTTATGCTGATGTACACCAGCAACGATATGTCCGAATGATGATGAATCACTTGGCAAGGTAGGAGGAAACAGCCAGCGCAGAAATGAGAAACGAGGCAGAACATTCAAAATGGTGAAATAAAGGTAAATCCAAAACAAAGATTCTTCAATTCCTCACCATTCTCACTTAATGTAAAACAACTGCATGATTTAAAACTATTAATATATCCTAATAATCCATAACTAATTCATAGCTTCACCTGATGCATGGATACAGGTGCACACTGTAGGGCAGTGCATCAAGCACTCTACCAGCATTTTGACATATCACAAGCTGGGATTCCCCTTTGTGAACCAAGACAGCAGGCAGGTGCATGAGTACTTCATGCCACCCAACCTAAACTTCCATTCCATCCAACTGACCCAAACAATGATGAATTCACAGAAGAAATAGGTGACAGAACAACTGAGTCTCAATGACAGAAAACAAACAAAAAACACGCAAAACCCCCAAACGAACATATTTTTTCAGGCACAACCAACCTCTTCCACTTGTTATAAGAACAACTGAAGGATCAAATGCAATGATGCACTGTGCACGGTGTAGCTGCCCTCACCGTAAACCACCTTCACAATTTTTCTTATAATTTTGGTACTGAGATGCAACTGAAACACCACCAGAAATGAGATCCACGCAGGGAGATCTGCCTGGCGCTTGCTGACAGGTGGAACCTAACCTAAACGCTGCACAAACCCCTGGACTCTAGGAGAGTCTCTAGACAAAGTATTTACTGTTATTTTCAGCGAGACCAGACTCTCGCCGCTTCTCCGAGACCCCACCGCCAGCGGCGCGCAGGAGCTCCCGTCCTCCCTGCTGCCAAAGGGCCGGTGGCTATCCTCGCAGATCCGCGGGGCAGCCAAATGGATCCTGCCTGAGGCAGGCGGCAGCCAGAGGCAGACGGCGGTGAGCGGTGTCTGTGTGCAGGTGATCCACCGGCTCGGGCGCCTCAACAGTCCCCTTCAGGCCCCGCTCACGCAACGATCGCGCCTCCTGAGCGGCCCCTTCCCCTCCACCACCCTGCGCCGCGCCCCCGGGACGCGAGGCCGCCGCCCCGCGCCCCTGTGGGCCCTGCCCGCCTCGCACACCACCACTAGGCCACAAGAAGCCTCTCCTGCCCCGAGGCGCGGGGGCCAGGCCACTTACCTAAGCCCGCGGGAAGCTGCCGCTCAGCGCCCGGCTGTCTGTCGCCCTGTGGCCCCGACGCGCCGCCTGTCACGCCGGCTCCGTGTCTCGCTCCGATCCCTGCTCGGCCCCGTCCCGCTCCAGCTACTCCATAGCGACAGCCACAGCGCCGGGGAGGTGGGCGGCCGGAGCACGCTCACTTCCGCCCCGAAGGGGCGGTGCTGGGGCGGTGGCCAGAGGAGGTGGAGAAGTGTGGGAAGTGATGCACTCGCCCGGCTTCCGCGGGCGGTACTAGCCGATGTTATGGCGGTTTATTTGACTCCGCGGTTCAGGAGGCTCCGCAGTCAGAGCGAGTTGGAGGCGCGGCGGGGGAGCGGCCGGCGGCGAGGTGGGGGAAGACTTACGGCCGCCCCCCTGGTGCTGCGGCTGCTGCGGCTGCTGCTTCTGCAGCGTGCGCGGGGCTGGCGGCGGCTCCGGGGGAGCGGAACGGGGCGGGCCGGGCTCTGAGGGTCCTGTGCGTGTTCGCCCGTTGGACTGGGGCCTCGGGCTGCGGGTGCCGTGGGAGGGGCCATTGGCCCGAGGAGAAGGCGCAGGTGTAGCGGTCAGAGGAAGCTGTATTCCGACGAGTCGTGGTGGGCGGGAACGCCGCTGCTAGGGGTGTGGCTGACCGTCGGAGCGAAAGGTTGGGGGCAGAGAGGTTTATTAAATACAATACATTGCAAATCTTGGTTTGTCGTGTGCCAAGCTGGGAGGGATGTATGGAAGAGAAACTGCGGGCTGGAGGAGCATCTCCCCGAGGGGAGGTTCGGAGAGCTGGGGCGGCTTAGTCTGGAGGTGAGAAGGCTCAGGGGGGTTCTCATCAATGCCTTACCTTTGGAGATACTCAAAACTTCTCTTGACATGGTCCTGGGTGACCAGCTCCGAGTGCCCTGCTTGATCAGGGGAGGTTAGACCAGATGGAACCCAGAGGTCTCTGCACGCCTCAGCCGTTCTGTGCTTCTGTAATGAGTTAATGCGTATGTGTATATACATGCCACAAGTGAGGTAACAAGAAAAAATCCCCTTCCTCGCCTGTTTTTACTGTCTTTTTGTTATTTTCTGTTGACTCTACCCTTGTGTGAGTGAGTCAGCTTACAACAAGGACTGATTCATGACCTATTTCTCTTTCTTTGAAAATTAAGCTGATTTCTGAAGAATTTTTCAACATACGTATACAAATAATCTCACAGAGTAAAAAAGTTTATTTTACTGTTAAAGTAAAGCTCTATAAACATCTGTAAAAATTTCGTATACTTATTTTGCAGATCGTGATGGTCCTTTTCAAGCAACTCAGCTGTGGAATAGTATTATTCATGCTCTTCATAGTCAGGTAGAAATCAAAAGACGTAGGCAACATCTGAGAACATACAAAAACTGTTTCACTGGCTCCAATGCCGTTGATGTGGTACTGAGTCATCTTATGCAAAGCATGTACCTAAGCTGCAATGATATTTCTCGGTTGAAGGGAGTCCGTGTATGCCAAGCGTTGATGGATCACAAGGTGTTTGAGCCGGTTGGAGCAAAGCTTTACTTATTCAAGAATGAGAAAGAAACAGAGTTTGAAGACACAAACACTAGTCTCTATAAATTTGTAAATAGTAGTCTTACTCCTCTTCTTCCGAGAAAGAATAAAGACAATGAGAGCTTGTCTCCTGAGCAAATCTGTAAACAGAAGATGAAAAGATGTTCCAAGTGAGTTACTCTGAACTATTTTCATTTTATTTTTTTTTTACTTGGTATGGGTTAACTGTAGATGAAGTTTTGTCTGCCTAACCTAGGGGTTGGAGGCTTTCGAGAAATTCATGCCAGTTTTGAGAAATGGCATGCCTAAATCATGGATGCTACCTGATATTTGTTGGTAGTGTTACATTGTTTTGATCTGCACTTTGTTATTTAGAAGATAGAGTCTGGCACAGTAGCATAAGCCTAGGAATCATTTTGGTTTGCAGTCAGTTGTGCTGAAATCTGAGAGTTGTCATGACTGAGCTACTTGCTGGAAGCTGGTAAAAGAAATGGAACTAATAAACAGCATTTGGAACCAATATCCTTGACCTTTGCACAAGGCAGATGTGGATGATTGTTTTTCTAGCAGCAGGATAGACCCCAGATACAATGACACCCTGATAGCAATGTTTTGGTTTGGCCAAGGACTTTGTGACAGCAGTTTAGGTAGTGACAGAGGTAAGATATGCCCAGGATGTGTCCTGATCATGGTTGTTAGATGACTTTTGTTATTTCCTTTATCACTGTTATCATTGGTGGTAGCAGTAGTGATCTGTGTTATACCTTAGTTACTAAACTGTTCTTATCTCAACCTGTGGGAGTTGCATTCTTTTCAATTCTCCTATCCGTCCCTCCGAGAGCAGGAGGAGGCCAAGAAAGGGGGGGAAATGAGCGAACGAATTACCTGACTGGGTTTAAACCACGACAAGTCCTGATTTGACAGCAGTTTAGGTAGTGACAGAAAGATAAATGTGTCCTGATCATGGTTGTTATACTTTTGATTTATTCCCTCCCCCAAGCAGAAGGAAGAGTGAAACAACAGTTTCAAGCCCCTTAGCATTAGAAGTGGCTGATAAAAAGAGGGTAGAGGAGCTTCTTAAATCAATAAATGTTCATACATCTTTACCTCCAAAGATCATGGTTAGTGAAGCAACTCATCTGCTTTCAAAAAGAGGTGAGGATTGAATTTTTCTTTTTAAAACTTTTTTATTCTTTGCTGTATCTACTTGGAATGAGTAGTTCATTTCTGTTAAACACTGCCCCTCATAGTCCTGAATTTAACATGTCGGTAATGACAAAATAGCTAAATGAGTGCTAAATGGATAAATGTTTGTAGTAAGTAAACTGATAGAAACAAAACAAGATTGAGGTTTTGCAGTATGGTGCTATTGTATTTATGCAAATATCACTTCAGAAGGAAATAAGTTTTAAGTACATATGTATTGTAGAATTCTTGTGCTATTCACTTGTCTCCTACGTATTGCTAAGTAGAGTAGGTTATTACTAATTCTAACATGATGGGGGAGAAAGATGTTCCCTTTAAAGCTCCTTTCTTGGCATTCCTATTTTGTTCCCTTCTTGAACACTTGAAACATTCTTGAGCAAGTAAAAGCAAAGGTTAATCTTTTACATAAGATCTTACTTCCGAGGGTGTTTTGTTTGTTTGCTTATGGTAACAGTAATAGAAGATGTCTGGAAACAGCAAACCCTGCTACGACTGCTGCAGTTAATTGACATTCCATTCCTAGAAGATATCTTGGTGTCTTCAGTGAAGACAAAACCAGACTGTTTTGGCAAAGAAGAAGATCTGATTATCTCAAATACTTTCCTGGACAGAGAGATTGCAAGTAGCTTAAGGTTGCCTGAGTAAGTTATACATCTATAAAATGGATTTCTTAGTAAATACTTTATTTTACTATTCAAAGATTTGTTTTAAGTACACATGGTTACACTTTATGCTTGTAGGCAGAGGTGGCATTAATGAACTTTCCTTTGTTGACTTCGGATGTGGTAATCAAATTCACAAAAAGTGAATTGAAAAGATTTATTCTGAGGCTTCTTGTTTGTCACAGTTCCTCCTGGTGGTGCTGTAAAGACTAAAATGTCAATAAGGCATTCATTGTCAACAGCATGAAAAGGAGAACCTAAGCTGTAGCATTGAAGAATGCTTATACAATAAGAATACAAAGGGGAAAGTATGCATGTCTCAGAGCTCTTTTCCTTAAATGTTCTTTTATTTTTGTAGTGTTCCTGTTGATTGCACTTGGGCTGATCTCTATCTTAACATGTTCTTTTAATGAATATGTTAAGGCATGTCTCTGCATTTGTGTATGACTTACTAATGCTTATTTCTGACAAATCAATACGATCTATTTGTGAGATTGAGGTCAATCTGTGTACCTAAAAAGACTTTTTGTATAGTTTTAATGTATTCTTTTTTTAGGGAGAAAACACTAATATTTTTACAAATGTACATAGTTTTATATAAGCTAACGAAACTTCTGGTTCCAAACTAGGTTTATTGCTGGATAGCATCTTAACTCCATGGGTTTTTCCTCCAAGAATGCATTAATGAACACTGGTTTTGTGCTTTATACTTACGTTGTACTTGATTTTGGGGTGATTGGTGGGCTTATGTCTCTCAAAATATCTCATGTGGTTCTTATTCTGTATTATTCTGTTTTAAGTGTATATAACATTACGTCTTTGATAATATATCGGGTGATTGTTAAGAAAATTAAATGCTTACTTCATTATTCTACAATTACTTAACTGGGGAGTAGAGTAGCATCTTTGTAGGCAGCATATTATTTAGGTTTAGCTGATAGCATGTCTGAGCAATGGAAAATTCCAGGTATGAAGAACAGCCACCAGTATTACAAGTAGTTGTAGGATTAATTGTCCCCAATATGAAGGTGAAGGATTATGCCTAACTTTCTGCCTTCAGTTTTCAAATGGTGTCTTGTTAAGCTTGAAATAATCAAATACCTGCTCTCATTGCAGATACTTAAAAACTGTAATCAAATCCTGCTTGCAGTGATTGCACAACCCATGGGATCATAACTAAAGGGAGTTCAGGATCCCATTTCTACTTTATTGTATTACCCCATTTATGCATCCAAGTGTTTATATAATCCTTGGCCCTGCAGTTTGAACAAAAGTTCCTGTTTATTTACTTATACAGCAGAAGGATCAATTTTTTTTTTCTTCTCTCCATAATAAAAATGAGATTCTGTGGATCTTAAATAATATTTGCATCTTCTCACAAGCTATGGTTCAGTTCAAATTATTTTATATCCAGAGAGCCAGGTGAAATTAATTGTCCCTATGCCCCCCACAGTTCTATAATTGTAGATTTATTCTGTACAAAATGGTTGAGCTAGTGACTTTCCTCTGACCTTCCTCTTTGAAAAAGTAGTTATCTACCTGAATTTTAGATTCTCCTTATGTTTTCTCTCTCTAGTTAAGTTGTACAGGTAAAAAAATGCTTAAGAAAACTCATGCCTTTGTAGTATGTCATGTAATAAACTGCTTCCACAGTCTTCTGAGGTTTAAACTATTTTTATTTTTTCTCTGTTTTCTATTCTGTAAATATTCAGTCCCTTGGTTTTCCACCCTGGTTATCCCTGATGGGTTTCTGTTGTGTTTGGTTTAAAATACTAGATGAATCAGGCAAGTATCCTGGGGTCAGTGACAGTCTGGCATGATTGCAGCTTGTTCTGATCTGGACATACCTCAGCCATACCATCTGTAGCATTAGAAAACCATGGAAGTTGCTTATTTTGAGTAGGTCCTTGAACTACTGTGGCGAAATAAGTTACATAAACTGCTTAATAAGCACCAAGTTTAATGCTGTGGTTCAAATATGTGACTATACCTCTGTGATTATTTCTATCTAATTTTCTTTAAAGGGTTAAATAAGAATAGGCAGAGCATTTTAAAGTAAGGACTAAAACTAACTTTTCCTTCTACAGGCTTGACAAATGGCTCTATGCTGCAATTGAATGCTTGGAGTATTTCCCAGACCAATTTATAGTGATGGTTAGTCAGCAGTTACCTCAAAGCACTAACAAGCCCTGCAGTCTGAATACATACAAGAAGATTCTTTTTGACACTATAATAAAGTACTATAGTCAAAAGAAAGACTCCCTTCTTGACACTCAGGATCTCAATATTCATTCAGGAATTATAGAACTTATAGGTAAGAGCAACCTGGAACAAAAAATGTAAGTGAAAGCTACATAAAGGATGTAACTTGCTAAGCATTAATTGATTAAATCATAACACCATTTGCAATGCTGTTGCAGATGCACTTTAATTTCTAGGTTGGAAGGGAACACTTGAGGTTGCTAATCAGAACCTCTGCTCAAGGCAAGGACAAATTTTGAGGTTAGAGCGAGTTGCTTACGTACAGCTGAATTTTGAAAATCTGCAAGGATAGAGATTCATTAACCTCTGTGGGTAACTTGTTTCAATATATAACTGCTCTCATTGTGAACATTTCTTACCACTAGTCACAATTTCTCTTAGTGTTACTTCTGACTAATAACAATACTTCATAGAAATGATTTTACTTTTTTCTTGTTAAGCAGCATAAGGTTTTGTAAGTTGTGTACTTAAGACTTTTTTAGTAATACGCATTATTTAAAATTATAAAAGGGGCTGTTGAGATTATGATTCAGGCTGTGATTTCCCTCACCATTACTCCCAATCCTCCCTACATATGCTCACAAGTAAAACAGAAAGGTTTAATTTAAATATAAATTTAAGATTAATCCTACTCTAAATAACCCTGTTACTTCTTCAGTTCTGTAGGGTTTATGGAGTGTTATTAAATGTGTCAGTTTTTAGAGAACTATGGCAGTTTACTAGCATAGGAGCAGAGTTGGCCTGTTGGAGCAGAGGGATAGATCCTGTGGCCGAAACTTCACAAAAATATGAAAGGCAATATATTTATCAGTAGTATTTTGCTAAACAGAAAAATAAACTAGAAGTCATGAAAAGGAAACTATTGCAAAATTGCATAACCCATCCTCAAGAAAAGGGTACCAGTTTGAAATAACTGACTTAAAACAGAAGTAACTTATGCTAAATGTTTACTTAAATTTAAGCGCTTTAAATTAAAAAGCACTTTAAATGAAAAACCGATACAAACCAATTTTATAGAATACATAGAGAATCAAACCAGCCAAATCTGTAGCAAAGGTAAAGACAGTTTCATAATTCTGATAAATAATGCTTTCATTGCCTGCAAGTCTTTTCTTTTTTAAGTACCTGCTTGATCTAAACTATATGACCTGTGAATGTCCAGGTCTATTCTGCTTTGTTACTTTTGCTTTAATTTTGTCATGTTTCCAACTTGGGTAGGACTATCTCACAAGCAGTTTCTAATGCCTTATTTCTTTTTGATGAAGTGGTAAGTATAACTTTACCATTAGGAAGTGATTTTATGTTTTAATAGTTAATAGTTTAATTAGTTTGTTTTCTGGGGTCCTCAGCTGTGGTCTAGTTCATACTAGATCACTGTTAGGAGATTGTGATTAACTATTTTCCAACCATTTTTCTATCTCAGTGCTATGGAATATATTATGGTTGTCAGTGCCTAACAACTTGGATTCTACTAATAGTTATCAAGTAGAATCCAGTGCAGTTAACCTTACTTTGATGCAGTACCATTGTTCTGACTAGTGTAAGAGAGAGTTTGAGCTAGCTATAAACATCTGCATATATAAAACACTTCAAAATTAATTTGAGAAGTGCTGCAGATAGCTAAAGTGCCACTTCATTTTGTCATCAATGTATATATGGTTATAATTGTATTTTCCTCAGTTGTTGAACAGTTTGATTTCAAATGGCTGATAATACTATCATCTGTTATGAAAGCAAGTGTGTTGTGCTTGTCTTTAAAATAAACAGATCTAGAATACTTATGCTAAAGATGAATGCAGTTGGTTAAATGAGTCCATTGGGCTTACTGAACTTCCACACCGAGAGGCTCTTTTAAAGCAACTCAGTGAAGCTTTTATCAGACCAGGGAAACTCTTGAGCTTTTCTCAAAGTGATTTAACTTCCTGTCTTCACATCTATACTTTTTACCTGTCTCGATCATGTCTTCTGGCAGTTTCTTCCTGCTCTTTTGTTTGCCCTTCTTTTATAAAAGGCTCACTCACTCTTGATGTTCTTTTTAAACAAAAATGGTTTCAAATGCCCATTGGACACCCTTTAAAGTCCTGGATTATTTCTTATAACATAAAACCTCTGTCCCCAATAACAGGACAGAGACCAGAAAATCATGCATATGTTCTATTCCTGTATCTGCCCTCATCTTGCTCTTGCCTTAAGAAAGGTACATGACTTTTCAGTACTTCTTCACTTTCAAAGTGAAGATAACTAGAATTATCTAAAGGGGGTTTTTATTGGAAGTTATTTCCACCTTACCACATTTCCTTGAGAAACTCCTAACCTAATGGCTTAAAAGGTGGGAAGGGTTGGGGTGGACCAACAAATCGACCTCTAACAGCAACCCCTCCTCCTCCCACCCCCAAAAAAATCCCAAAACAAAACAAAAAACCCAAACAAAACCCTCAAAGCAACGAGCAAGTTAGAATTGTTCCGCTCACTAATTATTTGGAGATGGATCCTGGAATATAATATGAAGATATGTAAACAAAAACAGGTGCAAACACTGAAGTGATGATTGAAGTTGTACACAAAACATAGTAATGTCCTGTATATATTGTTTAAGCACATCTATTCCCTGACTAACTGTGGGACAAAGGCTGTAGGCTTACATTGATTAAATGCTTTATTAAGTGTTGTCTAAAGGTTTTAGAAGTCACTGGGATAGCCTGTTGTGTTTGGAGAGAAACCCCTCCAAAAAAATGGATTAATATTGGATTTAAAATATGTATTCTTGACTCTGAAAATTAATAGTTTCACTGGATGCACTGTTTTACTCCACTGCAGAAAAAGGAAAAACAGATCAAGCTCTAGAGGCATCACAACTTTATTTAAAATTATTAGCACCAAATATCCGAGAAGAGCTACATAGACTCCTGACTTTCATAGCCATTGCGTCAGAATCTGATGGCTACAAATTACAGAAACAAGTAAGTATTTGTTATGTTTAGTGTGGGAAGTAATGTTTTCCCATAGGAAAACTAATTTTTAACCCCTCCCCCCCAAGAGTTACAAGTATTCTGTTTATTGCCTTACAATGTGATTTGTTTTAAAACAAATATCAAAATGTTCCTCCCACTGATAGCATCCTGTTATACTTAGTCTTTGCTAACACACTGCAAGTGAACCTAATGCCAAATCTGAATGGTTCTTTTTCTAGTTTGAGAACAGATTGGTTATCATCAAGACTTTCACAAAGTTCATCTTACAAAGTAAGACATTGTCAAAACCACAGGCAGAACTGCTGACTGAGTTTCTGATGGACAGCCACACTGACCTCTTGAAGGTAGCATTTTCCTCACCTCATTAGTTTTGTCAGTTTAAATACCATGAAGTGCCATTTTGGAGATGACATGTCTGAGGAGCAGGGTTTAATATTCCCATTACAGTTTAATGGTACAGTCAAGCAGGGTGAGAAGGTATTCAAGCCATGGAGGACAGCTTTTTGAGAGTTTATAATCTCTTATATAAATTATCTTCTCCCTTTACTTTCTATTAAGAAAATATTTAAAGTATTAAGAAATTTTTATAGAGGCCTTTTGGTACAATATTTCTGATGGTGGCCTACTGATTTTTTTAGGTTTCATAGTGTCTTTCTCCTTTAGCAGTCAGCTGACATACATGGCTGGTGTTTAAGGTGGCATGCTCTGGTGTCCTGGTGTACCTGTACAGCTTTGACAACTCTAACAGTTCCTTTGGAGTTTTCAAATTTTAACTTTTAAATTGAACGCAAAATTAAATGGTCTTTTTAACATAATTAGTTTTGTATATATGCAAGCATATCTTAGTCTCCTTTACATTCCATTGTTGTCACACATGTGAGAAGAGGCAACCTTCCCAGATCCTATATTGACCTTCTGAATTCAACCAGTGTGTAGAAGTTATGATGCTTCTTTACTGTTTTGCTTAATTATGAAACACCTCATTAAAATATTAAACTAGATAGAGATGAACAATTAGATAAACAAGATAGAGATGAACTAGATGAATAATTAGCTGTTATAATATACCTGTAAAATGCTGCAGGCACTTACTGTCCAGTTACAAATAAGTTTCCCAGAAACATTGATCTGATTTCTATAAAATATTCTTTTTAATTCTTACACATTTATTTCCATTCCTGACCTCAGCCAAAGACACATGGGAGATTTGTTTAATTAGCTCCAGTTTAGTTTGCAAGTATCAAGTGGTCAGTGTGAGTTTTGTATTTGTTATTATACAGCCAAAATAATTTGTTTGTTTCTTTGAGTTTTGTTTGCTGTTGAGGGTTCTGACATGACTGCAGATGGAGCCAGATCTGGCAAATGAAGTGCCCACTGCTTCACAGCAGAAGGGGTGGTACCTTGCTCTTTCACAGGGCAGTTGAGAGCATTGTGTATTTTATAAGCTGAAATAAGTTTAAGGTCTACACTACACTGTTTGCCATAGTTCAGTGGAAAACACTGTCTAGAATATCCTGCTTCATATTTAATTGGTCAGAAATACCAGAAATAAGCATGTATTCTAGTAAAACTATGTGGTTTAGTCCAAATCTGTGAGAGACTTTGACCATGTACCTGAATAAATGTAAGCATTGAGTTCTGCAGCTAATTAAATAGTTGGGGTTCTTTTTCGTTGATCACCTGAAAGCTCTACATTCTTAAAATATAGAAGAATTGCTTTTGTAATTTTTTTTCTCTGTTGGGTTTTATTTTCAGACTCCTTTAACTCTTCTGGAGCTAACCAGTAGGAGACTTGAGAGTTTGCTAGAAGGACAAGATCCAGATACCAATTCAGGTAGATGAAGTGATATGCATTTTTATATAACCCATTTTACAAAAATGAGTTTATCATCAGTTGACTATAATTCTGCATAGACTAGGTTCTTTTCCCTTATTAGAAATGAAGCATTAAAGTATTAGCAGCTAATTCACTAAATAACTAAATTATCTGCTATAAGCAAAATACTGATGTCTGAATATAGAGAACGAGAATTCCATTAACTGTCTAGTTTGAACACATTACAAATTCTTTTTACAAAATAATTACTTCTGGAAAGATCAGCATGAAATGTGCTTCCTGAAGTGACTTGCTTATAATTTGGTTTGTGAATTTGATGTGATTTTATATTTAGAAATAGCATTCTTATTTCTGACACAAGACCTAAAAATTCTCTTAGAGCCTCGGTAGTTCGAGGTTCTGATAGATGTCTTGAGCACAGACCTGGGTTGTTTAGTGTTTTGAAGAACACTCTTCCTTTTCTGTGTAAGTGCAAGAGTGTAAGACTTGGGGAAGGGTAGTGTAGCTTAAAAGGCAGGCATCCAACACTTGGCATGCATGTGGGATTAGTGTTTTCCAGCTCACTTCTTTTACAAGCTAACATTCCATCTGGCCTTGCTGTCAAAAATACCTTTCAGCACTGTGATTAAAAAGGTTAGCTTAAATAATTGAATTTATCTCTGACTCCGTCTTCCTTTTGATTTCTGTATTGCCAGTGCATTATGTACTTAAACACTGAAGAAAAACCATTAGGGAACTGAATTACACTGCAAGTTACTGTGCTGTTGAATACTGTATTTAATATGGCAGCTGCCTGAGAAGTAATTTGGGTACAGAATCTGTTACCGTCCATGTTGAGTTTTTGAATATGCCAAAATTGCTTCCTGTTCAGTGTTCTGAGTATTAAGAAGCCCACAGAGATGAGCAACAGAGGAAGGAGTTGCCTGTCTGCAGAATTCTTGGAGTTTGTGATCTCCATCTGCCCATTGAACAGACAAGTGAAGTACAAACCCCATGCTGTATTCTCCCTACAAAGTTTTGGTGTTTCAATCTATAAATGTGTATAGATTCTATCTACTTGTTGAAGTAGCTAGTTTGATTTGACTGTAAGCTCTCCAGCATGGCACTTCCCTATTTTCCTGTGTGCCTCATATTCTGGTGACATTTTCCCTTTTCTCATGGAGGAGACAGGAGGAAAATCTTTCCTGGGAGCTGCTGAGCATTCTCAGCTGGTGAACTTCTGAAGTGCAGGTGGGAGCAAGAGGGAAGGCTGTGGGACCCTGATAAGAAAGGGGGTCAGTCTAATGCAGGAGGGTAATCCTTAGATCTGCTGGAAATATAAAATACTAAAAAGAGGGAACTATGAGGTTGGCTTTAATCTAGTACCTACTTGAAACCGTTGGATTAAAGAATCCACCCTGAAGTTTTAAGAATTATTATCTTTGCCAGAAGTTGTTAAGCTTTTTCTTTTGAAAGCGCAATCTTGACCTGGCTTTACTAAAACGTAAAGTATTTCACATTTGGTGTTTGATAGACTTGGTGTAAAAGAAGGGAGGGACAAGTCTATGTGAAAATCTGGTAGCTCAGGTTATTACAACTCTTGATGTGAAGCCTCAAGAAGACAGTGGTGTACAGAAGGAAGAGTTTTTTCCCCTTTAGGCAATTGTACTTGTTCAGCCAACTTGCTCCCTAACGCTTATAGGAGGAAAAAGTGTCTGGAGTAGCTGAATGCCAGTCTTTCCTTGGGCTAGAATTCACCTGCCTAATGACGGGGCTTTAGTCCTTGCAGGGCAGTACTCTACTGCATGGGTCCACAACCTTTTTATAGCTAGGTCGTGCTTGAGTTGCATATCTCTCAGAGTGTAGTTCTTTGCCCTCACCCTGAACCGCTGCCTGTTGCATCACCTCTGCTTCTGGTGCCCAAACCATGCTGAGCTGTCTGGTCACTTAGAAGTTCCTGAATTCTGTTCCTGATTTCAGAAACAACTGTTCCTCCAAAGTATTTATTCACTTGCATTATGTACTGGACCTTGCTGGATCTGGATTGATTCCTAGGGAATTGCTGGATCATGACAATTACAAGATGACATTCTTGTTGTGTAGCACGCTTCATTACGGTTTCCATTTGTAAAACCAGTATTAGTTTTTTTCTTGCAGGCCTGTTTGCAATATGGAAACACCTGTGATATTCCACTTATAACACTGCTTTTCAATTTTAGTTTTGCAGTTAATGTTTAGATGTTCATCCATGCTGAGTGAAGGGCTATGTTCCATATTGTAGAAAATTATAATTGCATCTGAACCACAATATCAGTATACTTACATTTCTGATCATATTTTTTAATCAGGCTCTTACATAATCCATTAAACTTAATCTGAACCTGTGATTTCTCACAAAGGCTTCACCTTCTGTCAGCGTGTGACAACTAAAGAATACGAAGATCAAAACCAACAAACAAATCAGTATCTTCTTGCATTGGTTCAAGAGATGGACAGTGACCCTACTATTCCTTTGAAGCAGAAGAAGAAATTAGTTAAAGAATTCAAGAAATACCATTCTCTTGCCTATTGTGGTTGTAAAACTAAATGTGAATTTTGTGCTCCAAATGGCTAGATATCAACACAGCCTTTTGGGGTTTGTTTGTTTGGTTTTTTTTCATTTTAAAGGGGAGGATGCATATGAAAATGGTACAAACTGTTGTCTTACTTCATTGTGTCTTAAGTTACAGAAAACTACAACTATTGAAATCACTGTGCTGCTAAAAAGCATTAATTCTAAGGATCCTTTTTAAGCAAAATGTTCTTAATTATTTTAAAGTTAGTAATAATGGCACACTGCTTGTGCTGCTATGAGTTCAGACTTTGGTGCTTTTTTCCACGTGTCCTTAAGCCTATAGCTTTCTAGCTGAGCCACGTCTGCATTCTGAGTCATGCTTGGGTTGATAATCAAACTTTTTATTCTTTTCAATCTGCAGTTCATAATCTATTTTAATCTAATAATAAACTGTAGATTATGACTCTTATGAGTGTTGTAAAAGTGTACAAAGTGCACCAAAAAATGTTAGGAGCTTGTGGCAGGCAAGATTCATTAGGCAGAGGAGCTGTGTGTGTTGCAGTCAGTAATTACAGCTTGTTGCTCTTTCCTCACTTTGGCAGACTGAGCTGCCGCTTATTTGGCAGTTACACAAACGCAAATGTAAAACTACATTTTTTAAAAAACTGAGAAATAATCTTGGTTTAGATCACTTGGGGTACTTAAGCCGCTTATTTTAATATCAAGATACTTTGATAGTGTCCAGTTATTTGTCATAAATACTTTGATAACGTTAATGGTTCATAGGGCAAAGCTAGAAAGCGCGTTGGCCTGTTTACACATTGATGGTTAACTGTACATTGACAAGGAAATGTTGATTAAAATCATTAACCATGCAATATAATGTTATGGGGTTAAATTACTGTCCTGGGTTCAGCAGTAGCAGTCATTTTCCTCCTTCTTGGTAGCTGGTGCAGTGCTGTGTTTTGACTTTCGGCCTGGGAGCAGAGCTGATAACAATGATGTTTTGTTTTGGTCAAGGACTTTGTGAGCCTCATGCTCTGCCAGGGAGGAGGGGAAGCTGGGAGGAAGCAGAGACAGGACACCTGACCCAAACTGACCAAAGAGGTATTCCATACCACAGCACGTCATGCCCAGGAGGTAACTGGGAGTTACCCGTAAGGGCTGGGAGACTGCAGGGTTGGAGGAGGTATCGGTCAGAGCTTGGTTGAGCTGGGGGGGTGAGTTATCGGTCGGCTGGTGCTGAAGTGTTGTATTCTCTTCCCTTGTTATTTCCTTTATCATTATTATCACTGGTGGTAGCAGTAGTGATCTGTGTTATACCTTAGTTACTAAACTGTTCTTATCTCAACCCATGGGAGTTGCATTCTTTTCGATTCTCCATCCCTCCGGGAGTAGGGGGAGAGCAAGAAGGGGGGGAAGTGAGTGAACGAGTTACCTGACTGGGTTTAACCACGACACTATTACTTTTTCCATCCTCATGACAGACATTTAATCACATGTTGGACATAGAAACTTAGAACTGAGATTGGAAGGTACCTCTGGTCTAGTCCCACAGCCCAGCTGAAAGTGGGGTCAATTAGTGCAGGTTGCTCAGGGCCTTTTCCAGTTCAGTTTAGAGTATCTCCAAGGATGGAGATGCCACAGCTGCTCAGGTGAGTCTGGTCCAGAAGTGCCTGGTTCAGTCTTCTTTACTCCCTCCCCTGAGCCTTCTTTTCTGAAGGCTAAACAGTCACAGCGCTCTCATCCTCGTCCCTGTATGACAGATGCTCCAATCTTTGTCATTTTCATGGCCCCTATGCTGGACTAACTCCACTATGACCATGACTTTTTTATTGTGAATATGCTTCTTTGGGTATCTATATCCTCAATTGTTCTTCAAACGTATGGGGAAGTTACCAGAATACCAAAGCTTTCTGAAAATAAGTGCTGACCAAGTTTCATCTTTCAGAGGTGAATGCCCCAATTACTAGATTACAGGGCCACAAGTTCTTTTTTGAGCCCTGTGATGGGAGGTTGGCCATTCTCCCAGAAAAGGAAGTGTGTACAGGTTATTGAAAATTGTAAACAGGAAAGTTTTCTGATTAAGTGCTTCTGGTGTCGAGTTGTGGGAAAGGGGGTTTTCAGTTTGGATTTTATTTGTTGTTGGGTGGTTGTTTGATCTTTTGTCGTAGTGTGGGCTTTTTCTCTCTTCAGTCCCTCTACTGGGTCTCACTCAAAATGCTGAACCTGGTTAAGAGGGAGGAATGGCAACATGGCTATTTGTAGGCTAGATGGACTGGGAACTGCTTTGGGAAAACTTTTTAAAAAACAAATTATTGCACTTTGTGACTTGCTAAGAATTTTCTTGTACTAATTTAAAGGGGTAAAAGTTCTGTAAAAGGAGGGCTCTTCAGAGCCCTGCCTTACTCACCCTGACAGCAGGATCTGCTAATTTTCAGTCTTCTGTTGAAAGAAATGTGGTGGTTTATGTTTATGAGGGTCTATTGAACAAGACTATTTAGTGAACTACAGATTACTGGTCTTTGTTGTTAGACTTTCAGTTACATTCCAAAATTAGGAAAACTTTACTGGACCTTAGACAGTTCTGTTGGTTATTTTTTAACAATATTTGGCACAGAATCATCTGGAAGGGAAACTTGCAGTTCATTTCTATTTATGATTTCTAGCACAGAGCTATCAATTGTCAATATGAATTTATTTTGAAGTATAAAATTTAGAGAGTGAAAAGTTTAGGCTGGAGGTACTTTCCAGTGCACTCTTAATCAGAGAACAAGTGATGCACCTTCAGAATGAGGAGACTTGCTTCCATTCATAGAACGTTAATCATAGAATTACAGAATAAGCTAGGTTGGAAAAGACCTTTAAGATCACCAAGTCCAGTCATTACCCCAGGACTGCCAAGACCGCCACTAAATCATATCACTGAGGACCTCCCTATCTCTGCCATTCAACTCAGGGAACTGAGTACCCTGAGGATGGCTGGTCTGACTAAAGACTGAGGCAAAAGCTGCAGTACATACCTCAGCCTTTTCTTCGTCCTCAGTCACTAGGTTTCCCCTACTATCCAGTGGAGGATGGAGATTCTCCTTGGCCCTCCTTTTATTGCTAATATATTTGTAAAAGTATTTTTTATTATCTTTTATGGCAGTGGCCAGATTTAGTTCCATCTGTCCCTTCGCCTTTCTAACTTTCTGTGCATAACCTAACAACACCCTTGTATGTTTCATTGGGTAACAGTCCCTTCTTCCACAGGTGATAAATTCTTTTTTTTTCCCGAAGTTCCAGCAGTATCTCCCTGTTCAGCCAGTCTGGTCTTCCCCACTGGTTTGATTTTTGGCACATAGGGAGTACCTGCTCCTGCACATTAAGGATTTCATTCTTGAAGAGTGTCCAGCCTTCCTGGACCCCTTTGTCCCTCAGTAATGTTTCTCAAGGAATTCTCCCAACTAGAAAACTAAACAGGCCAAAGTCAGCTCTCCAGAAGTTCAAGGTGGAGCTTTTGCTGACTTTCTTCCCGACTTCTCCAAAAACTCAAAATTCAATCATTTTGTGATTGCTTTTCCCAAGATGGCCTCCAACCATCACATCTTTTTCAGGACAGGCAATCTCAGGAGAGAACTTTTGAGATGTGTTTAATGTCCATTTAACTGCATGCACAAGTTGGAATAATATTCATTTGGGAACAAAAAAATCTCCCCCCCCCCCCCCCCCCAAACAAACCCCCAGACAACTCAATTTCTTCTCACTATGTATTAATGTCACACCAGCACAAGCATTCAGTATTTTTATTGCCCCATGCATTGAGGTTTTCTGCAGTAAGAATACAGTGAAGCTATCACTAAAAGATGAGAACACAGTGAAATGACAGTGAACGTATTACTTCATAGTATTAGGCTTGTAAAATTCATTTTTAAACTTGGAAAATTATTTTCCCCAACCCACTCTAAATACAGGAAAGCTAAAACACAATCCTAACTGACAGGAAACAGGTTGTACTTCAAAGAGTTCCATTCTGACTGAAACAATGGAATAACAAAATATTCAACTATACTGCCTATATGTCAAATTTCTCTTCACAGATATTGTGTCCATGTTCTTCATAATCTTCTCTAGTTACTACCATGTCTTCAAAATCATCATTTTCAGAAATGAGCTTCCCACCTTCCCAGGAATAAGTAATAGGGCTGAAAAATGAACAGTTATAAATGAGTAACAGTAAGTACATTTCAAACAGAAGTATGCAGTGATGATTTCCAAGACTTTTATCTATCCTATTTAAAAATATACTTTTGATTGCTAAATCAAACCACCCAGCTCCAGACAAGCTCTGAGACAAAGTCTGAAATTTTAGCAGGGCTGACTGACTGTTATAAACAAGTGCAGGAGGCAGGTGTGAAGAGGGCGGGATAAGAAGATATTGTTTAATGTTACACAGATAATGATTCTTCATAATATTTAAAAGTACTCTCCAATAGTACTTTTTAAAAAGTAAAGATTTCGTTGTTCTTTCGATACACGTGTTTTGTCTCAGCTGTGTACTTTCTCTCTGCTAAGGTGTTACCCCTTCCAAATCCCTGAAGTGACTACATTAATAATGATATGGCAGCATTCATATGCTGTCAAATCTTTTAAGTAAAAGATTAAACTCTTATCTTGCATACTTATATATCCACATAATCCACAATACAGTCTTATTTACCTATTTACGCTCCAAAGACTGATCCTGAAAACATTTCTATGCTTAACTTTATTACCTAAAGTACAGGGCAAGCAGGTGGTCCCTAATTTAACTGGTTTGTCTGAAAATACACTCATTTAAAACATTCTTCTTGTACAGTTCTGGTTCAGTGAATACTTAAATTAACCCTTTTTATCTTAGTAATAATAGATTAGATTCATAGAATAGTTAGGGTTGGAGAGGACCTTAATATCATCCAGTTCCAACTCCCCAGCCATGGGGAGGAATGCCTCGCCCTAGACCATGTCATCCAAGGCTCTGTCCCACCTGGTCTTGAACACTGCCAGGGACAGAGCATTTACCACTTCTTTGGGCAACCTGTTCCAGTGACTCACCACCCCCACAGTAAAGAACTTCTTCCTTATATCTAACCCAAACCTCCCCTGTTTTAGTTTGAACCAGCAAAAGAAATCCTACTTCATAGTTTGTTCTGCTAGAAGAACAAAGCTTGTTCTATACAGTGTAGAACTCACTTTTCAGGAAGAACAACGGACACATCATAATCAGTTGGAGTAAGGCATCGAACTTCAGAATAAACCCGATCTCTGAAGCCTGGAAAAAGGGTGTTTCCCCCAGTCAGGACTATGTTCTTGAAGAAATGAGGCTGCATTTCTGTAAAGGAAGTAAATCTGTAGTTACAGATAATATATGCTTAAAGATTCAAGTTTTATTCCCCACTTAGAAGTAAAAAATATGCAAGAAGAATTTTATGATCATCTAACGATTAC